ACATGCACTGGCTTCAGCAGCGGAACACGTCTGGCACTGCAGGATTTGATTCCCTGCCGTTGTAGTGTGTTACTGATGGTGACCTTTGTTACTGTGGTCCCAGCTCTCTGCAGGTCATTCACCAGGTCCCCGTGTGGTTCTGGGATTCTTGCTCACCATTCTCATGGTCATTTTGACCCCACGGGATGAGATCTTGTGTGGAGCCCCAGATCGAGGTAGATTATCAGTGGTCTTGTCTGTCTTCCATTTTCTGATAATTGCTCCCACAGTTTGATTTTTTCACACCAAGCTGCTTGCCTATTGTAGATTCACTCTTCCCAGTCTGGTGCAGGTCTACAATTCTTTTCCTGGTGTCCTTCGAAAGCTCTTTGGTCTTGGCCATAGTGGAGTTTGGAGTCTGACTGTTTGAGGCTGTGGACGGGTGTCTTTTATACAGATAATGAGTTCAAACAGGTGCCATTAATACAGGAAACGAGTGGAGGACAGAAAAGCTTCTTAAAGAAGACGTTACAGGTCTGTGAGAGCCAGAGATTTTCCTTGTTTGAAGTGACCAAATACTTATTTTCCACTCTGATTTACAAATAAATTCTTTAAAAATCCTGCCATGTGTATTCATGGATTTTTTTTTCACATTCTGTCTCTCACAGTTGAAGTGTACCTAAGATGTAAATTACTGACATCTGTCATCATTTTAAGTGGGAGAACTTGCACAATCGGTGGCTGACTAAATACTTTTTTGCCCCACTGTGTGTGTGTATGTGTATATACATATATATATATATATATATATATATATATATATATATATATATATATATGTCTGAGTGGGCAGCTTACTGCAGCAGATGTGATCAGCAGTGTTGGGAGTAATGGCGCATAAGTATGACAGCATTATTTTTTAGGTAACGGCCATTACCGTTACTGGGCACGCCAAGTGGCGCGCTACTGCCATCACTATCGGGCTGTTTGACAGCCACACACACCAGTGATGCACGCATGAAACAGCTCGAGCAAACAAGAACAAGAACAAGAACAAGAACAAGAACAAGAAGAAGAAGAAAATATAATTTCTATAGCGCCTCTCAAGATAAAAATCACGAGGTGCTTCAAATCTGCTTTGAATGACACCGGCTTTACCGGCATCCGCCATCCCGCCCCGAGTCGGTGTTACAAATGGCGAAAAGGAACACACAGCGCCGAACACATAAGGGTGTGGCGCTGCACATGCTCGCCGCTCCGATTGCTAAGAAGCAGGCAGGAGGTTGACATGCACAACATGACTGGGACAATTATTACACTAACACGATGGATGTGTAAATATCGGTGTGGACAAATCAGTAAATGATGAAGAAAGAAGCATAAACAGCACTTCAGAAAGGTGAGGAGATGAGTGAAAGCAGTACAGGCAGGACAATACAGTTATGGCATGCTGTTTTAACATTTAATCAACAATCGAACCTCTATAATTGCCTTTTTTATATAGCAATAATTTAATTTATCCTAGATTAGTACTAATTGTATTCTTCTCAGTCTAAATTGCAACTGAAGACATCAACAGTTATGTTGTCATTAGTAGAAATTACAACTAAGGATATCCAGGATAGCAACAGCACTAGCAGGAATTAAGTTTGAGAATCTCCTAATCCTTAAAAAGCTAAACTTAACATTTATTAGGCAGACTGGATATGTATTCCAGATATCTATAATTCTATTTTTCTGGTAGAAATGATCATTCCAGAGGTCCATAAGAACATTCTTAGATAGTAAGAATCAGTGTTGGGAGTAACGCCGTTTAAGTATAACGGCGTTTCTAACGGCGTTCTTTTATAGGTAACGGAATAATCTAATTAATTACTTTTCCCGCCGTTGCAACGCCGTTACTGGGGACGGAACGCTGTGCGTTACTATGTGCTTGTCGAACGTTGAGCAACAGTGTGAGGCTTTCCGACCGCCACACTTCAGCTGCAGCCAGGGAGAGAGAGGTGTCGGTAACGCGCTTACAAACACGATGATGATTGGCCGGGTGGGCGGAGACCCTCACGGTCTCAGTCACTGCATTCTGTAGACACAACGGTAATAACTCCGTTTAAAATAACCGCGTTAATAAAAAATATGTCTTTCTGTAACAAGCAAACTAATTAATTACCCGCTTCTTTTATCAAAACGTCGTTCCTGTTACTGGTAAGGAAATGCGTGCGTTAAGCAGTGCGGTGTGTTGAAGCTGTCATCATCAGCTGATCAGGAGCTAAAGAGGCAGATGTTTAAGAGCATCATGGCCCGTGAAGAACGAGGAAGACGTGATGAATAGTCTACGGCTGCAGACCCGCAGATTTGTTGCTGCAGCAGCGAATCTGCGGGTCTGCAGCCGTGCCCTTAGCGTGACAGCGGGACGTCCCGAAGGTCCGCTCACCTGTTCACCGCTCAGACGTCCTGATCTTCTACCTTCCTAGATCATCCAGCTGTAACCTGTTTCTGATCATGTCTTTAGTCCCGCTGTAACACTGATGCATCAGTCTCAGACGTCATGGAGCTCAGGTGTTATTAGAACTACCTGTGTGTGTTCACCACCCAGCTTCAGCTGTTCTGTGTTTGGGTCTGACTCATGTTAGTACATTTAAGTCCTCCATCAGGCTTGTGCCTCTTCTAGTGTCATTTTAAAGGATATTTATTTATTTATTTAACCGATACTAGATTACCAGCAACAGAAATGCTACTAAAAAGACACAATTATGTGAAGCTGTAAAAATTAGAATGCTGTGCAAAATTACATTTATTCTGTAATTTAACTAGACTGAGAGACCGTTTAAAGGCTCGGGAACCTTTACAGGTGTTTCTATTTGCAATTTTAAATTTGAGCTGATTGGGTTTTTGTTAAATATCACACAGTGACCTTTTAATAGTCTAGATTAGTGTAATGTTCCTATTAGTAGTTCCTCCTGTTAAGTGCCTATTTGTTTTAATTATTCAGGTTTATATAAAACATTTGGACATACATTTTATTATGTTCAGTCATTAGTCATTTATATTTTACTATTGTAGTAATTCTTGCATGCTTTAATGAAAAAGTAACTAAGTAGTTACTTTTGTTGGTAATTAGTTACTTTTATGATCTTGTAACTCAGTTAGTAACTGAGTTACTTTTTTGACAAAGTAATCAGTAACTATAACTAATTACTTTTTTAAAGTAACGTTCCCAACACTGGTAATAATCATCTTTCATGTTTTAGATATTATAGACTGTAACTGCATTACAGAACATACAAGTAATGTCACTGTTACTTTGCTAGGTAACTAATTACTTTTACAATGTGGTAACCGAGAGGTAACTCAATTTTTTTTTTGGATTAAGTAATACCTACCGTATTTTCCGGACTATAAGTCGCACTTTTTTTCATAGTCTGGCTGGTCCTGCGACTTATATACCAAATTATGTATACCGCGCTGCTGCGGGCCGCTCCGGTCCAGGTTTCAGCTCCTCTGCCCCGCTGGGAGGGTTTGAAACACCGCCATCCTCTGCTGGAGACCGTGGTGCGCTGTTGCACCCTGATTGTTTATTCTGTTATTATTACTGGTACTTGTCTTGCATTGTGAAATGCTTGGTCTCAGATTTTGTAAGAAAAATGCCAAAATTTCCCCCCAAAATGCGACTTATAGTCCAGTGTGACTTATATATGTTTTTGTTTTCTTCTTCATTATACATTTTATGGCTGGTGCGACTTATACTCCGGAAAATATGGTGTGACTTAAGCCCTGTCCACACGTAGCTGGGGATCTGCCAAAACGTAGATATTTTTCTACGTTTTGGCCTGTCATCCACACGAAAACGGATCTTTTTAAAATCTCCGGCCAAAGTGAAGATCTGCTTTTCTCCGTTTTGGGTGTCTGCGTGTGGACAGACAAAACCGGAGTTTTAAGGTCCGCAACGTCACTTTCCGTGACAAAAAAATGCTGACATCACGTGTGCGACCTGTGTTTACACTAGCCGACAGCATGGATGCCCTCAGAGCTGCGCTCGCTTTATCAATCGTCCAAGCGCTTTCTGCTTGTTTGTTTTTGCAAGCGGAATTACTGCTCCTTGCGGAAGACCACAGACGAAGGACGAGGTTAAGAACGGGGGAAGTACTGCCGCCTACAGGTCTGGCATGTCCTTAACAACGTATTTATCCGGGTACGTGTGGACAGAGTTTATTTTTTTAAACGAGGTGGTGTGGATGCAAGTTTTTGGGGGGGGGCGGATATTCGTTTTTAAAATAAAAAACGGCTACGTGTGGACTAGGCCGTATACTCCGGAAAATACGGTAATTACCTTTTTACCGTAAGATGCCCAACACTGCTGATCAGTAAAGTGTGTGAAGTGACCCGTATGCTCCGCAGAAACACAACTCAGCTGAAAAACGTTGGTGTAGCTGGACATTTTGCTCAGTTTTATGGCTTTTTGCCAGACTCTGAACCAGGACATGGCTGAAGGCAGTGAAGCAGAAGGCAGAGAACTCCAGAGGAACCAGTCTACACCCCGTAGCCAATCAGCGGCCAGAATCACGACGTTGGCTCGACTCAACCTTGCCAGGTACCCAGCGACTGTAGAAAAAGGTACGTCAACAGAGCAGGGACTAAAAATGTGGGACAAAGTAGAGGAAAAAACACTGAACCGTGCCTTTGGAACCTGTGGTCTGGCCGAGCTGCACCGGTCTGAGTTACTCTGAGTAGTGCTCCTGGAAAACTAGAGTCATGAGAAATAAACGCTTAGAGCATCAGATTTATTGTTGTTTCAGACAGCAACAAACAGCAGCTGCGCTGTCGTAGTGTTGTTGATTTTACTCCAACAGGTGTTACCACCCTCAGTCACAAACCTCCAACTACATGAACACGGCTCCATCACACCATGTTCTTTAGATCCCATTTCATCTAGAATTTTGGGATTTTCCGGGATAGGAACATGAAAACATAGGGAGTCACAGAGACTCCACACACTCAACTCCAGACTCCAACAGCTGTCTTACTTTAAAAGTGGCGAACGCATCTGAGGCGATGTCGAAAGTGGACATCTCCACGTATCTGAAGAAGTCATAGAACTGCTCCGATGACAGTGTGATCTTGGCCAGTGGTTCGTGTCTGATGCACTCCCTCAGCATGATTCCACAATTCAAGGCAATGTCTGAAGACTCGTACCTGTAACCATCAGATTCACAGCATGAACACAAACAACAAACCTGTATGGTGGTGAGGCTTCAACTGTGGCTTCTTTTTTCTCCTGGTGCACGGGAGCAGACGGATGCCCAAAGACTAAAGTCATAATCTAGATTTAAAAAACTGTTGCTGGACTTGTGTCAAGACACAAATCCTTTCTAACATTTACAGAAACTAGGGCTGCACAATATATCGCAAATATATCGTCGTTGCGATATCAGCATGCACAATATGCATATCACAAAGAACAGACAAATATCACAATGAATGGTCAGCTCTAATGTTTACTAAACATAATTTATTCTGTCAAACGGAAGCATGTTTTTTTTTAACAAATCAAATAGAGCTCTTCACCCATTTGGCCAATTGGGAGGGTTCTCATGGGTCAGACACTTTTGATGGTTAGCAAACACCTGAGTTAGCTTTGTTCTGCTCTTTCTGCCGATTCTGCTTCTCCCGGGATCCACTGATCACACTCGCATCTTTTGTTTTTCTCATTTTTATGATTTTTATGCCATTTTTTTATTTCTTTGTTTTTGATTATTTTTGTTCCGGAGTTAAGTTTTTATTTATCACAAGTAATATCATCATCACAACATTAATCACTGTTATCTCAAATCGCAGGTTTTCCTAATATCGTGCAGCTCTAAGAGAAACTGTTTCATTCTTAGAAGAAACTGTAAAAACCCAAATGCTTTTTTCAATTTTCCTCATATATTCATCACACACACACACACACACACACACACACACACACACACACACACACACACACACACACACACACACACACACACACACACACACACACAAACACACAGATTTCAAGCTAACATTGATAAAAGAAATTTGAGCTTCAGAGCCGAGCAGATGTTCTATGGGATTAGATTTGTGCCAATAAGATCAAGAAAAACACTTTGAAGATCAAACAAATATTAAGAAATCGACAGAACAAAAATAATGACTAAAGAAAAAAATCGTTTCAAAAGTAAAACTTACTATGTGAATCAACTTCTTAAAATGAGTAACAAAGTATGTTTCCTTTTCCTGTTTGCCTCTATGTGTTTTTGTTATCAGTTTCCTTTGCTTCATTCTTGCTACTCACAGCTTTGCTCTACCAGATTTGCACTTACACTTTCTGGCTTTCTCCTTTGCAATCCCTGAGTTTTTGGTTGCAATTCTGACACAACCCTTTCGGGTGGGTGGGACTTCTGAGAAGTCCTCTCCCATAAGAGGTTGTAGAACCCTAACAAGGCGCTATACAAATAAGGCCATTTACCATTTGGTTTAAACCATCGACATACATATATGGACAATGGGTTTCCATAGGCTCCAATAACACGTTTTTGTGCTAAAATGGGAGGTGGCCACCACCGCCATTTTGACCGTGTCACAGGTTCCGTCAAGCCCAGACAATTCCATAAAACGGAAGAGGAGGAGCTGAGGGTGGGGCTGTAAGGCTGGGATCAACTGACGACACCCGGTCGAACTAGCTACAAGCTAACCTGAAGCTAACCCAAAGCTAATGCGGAGGTGGGAGCTAAGCTAACGGAGGTAGAAACCTAGCTACAACTGGAGTTAACACCAGAGCTTCTGAGTCAGAGATACGCCGGGCTGACCGCTGGGTAAAACCGGGTGGAACACAGAGTTCTCCGAGAGCTCCACAAGCCGGCAGCCACACAGCAGACAAGCGCCGCGGCGATCTGAGATGCGCAGAGCTGCCGCTGGGGAGAACCGGGTGGAAAGGTTTCCATCCCAGAGCTCGACAAGCCGTCAGCCCGCGCAGCAGTCAGGAGCCGTGATCACACAGAGATGCGCCGAGCTGCGGGGAGGGGAGAACCGGGTGGAAAACATCGGTCTCCCGAGAGCTCCACAAGCCGATAGTGGGAACCCAGCTCCACCAACATGTTATATTTCAACCCATTTTCTAAAGTGCAGCATTATGTTAAATGCACTGGGTTTTACCCTATTACATTTAAATTTCATGGTTAAAATCTAAGCTCAGCTCGGCAGTGACCTAAAATACATAAATATAATTTTACTTACAGAAAAAAATGAAGTGGAGACTCCTTGGACGCTCTATTGGTGCAATTAATGCCACAGCAAGTCATTTTGTCCAACAATTGCACAAAAAATATCCAAAAAAGAATACACACACACAGAGACTCAAAATTCCCCGGAGCAGTTTCCAAGCTAGACCGAGGCTCTACTGAGGCCTTTCCACAACGCTAGCTCTGTGGTCACGTGGGTCTGATGCTCATTAATTATTCAGAATTTTAGACTTTTAATACACTTAAACAGAAGAGTGAGAAAAAAATCCACCCCCCTCAGAGTTGTCATGAGTGTAAACTAGATCATTTAAACCTAAAACATGTTCTGGTACCAGGCTGTAAACATGTTTATTTCTGCTGTGAAATTGGTATTTTTAACATGGGAGTCAATGAGGATTTGCTCGCTTCTGACACCAGCCCCTAGTGGATGAGGGTGGAACTGCAATTTCTGGTACTTCCGGGTTGGGACCAATTTTTGAGCTGCATTGTGGGGGCTTGGTTTAAACTCAAGACTTTTGGTTTAGGAGCACCTCATGTAGGGGAGTGAAATAAAAATGAAATGCATGGTTTTTCAAGTAATTCTCTTCACACTCGCTCTAATCTGGGATTATTAAGTTTTACATCCTGCCGCTCCAGCCAGTAGAGCTGGTTTATGGCCTCAAACATATCAATGGTTTCCCCTGAGTTTGTTAGAACCTGCATACGCCACATTAGCTTCGTAGCTATGACGCTAGCCAAACGGCGTCCATTCGTCTGAACTGTTTGGTCCCCCCCCTTTTTTTTTATAACAGTGCCATGTTTGTGTCCTCTGTCTCTTTTTTCCATCTTTTTTTTCAGTTCGGAGCATTCGTATTTTCTATTTTTTACCAGCTATCTAACCTGATACCTGCAGCAGGCTAAAGCCGGGCGTACACTGTGCGACTTTTTCACTTTTTTTGAGCCGATTTTCCACTCGTGCAAGAATCCACGAGATCGGGGCGAGTTTTGCGCCGAGCGTCGTGTAGTGTACAGCGGGTTACGAGAGGCGATTAACACCACGTGACCAGCTACCGATCAGCAATCGTGAGCTCGCACGAACTTCTGGAGTGTTTGATATTTGCTCGTTCCTCGTGAGGGTATCGCACTGTTGAAGCGGCGCTGCGAGCAGCTGCGACCCAAAAAGTATCAGAACCGCTCACGACGCATGCGCAATCCTGCATCAACACCGCTCGCCCGCTATTTCCCTAATAACACGCGTTGATCGTTTTTATTTCTACACGTTTTTTTTTTACTCACGACGATTGTTAAGAAAGCGTGTTTGTCGTGTTCGTGTCAAATTAAACTGATCACAAAACACAGATTTACTTTCTTTATTTCGTTTTCCTCATCCAACCCCCATAAATCCCTGTGTGTCCTCCTGCAGCACTCCCGAAGGACAACAGGCAAGACAAAAAAGTCTGACGTGTTGTGTAAAAACTGCTATTTTTAGCATATTTCTAGGTCAGACGTGTTGCTACCAGACGTACAGTGTGAGCAGTCAGGTCGCATGCGAGAACTGGGCCGTGCAGTGTGAGTAGGGCTGTCGCGATTGAGGAATTCCCCCTACGGTGAGTCAGGGCAGCTCAATATTGCGATATGCGATATTATTGCACCCCGTTTTTATTTATGTACTTAGCAAATTTGTTTGTTAATTACTAAACTCATGGCAATATTTCCTTTGAAACATTGTGCTTACACATTTAAAAATGTTAGAAAAAATACATTTTTAACACTTTATTGAATGCAGATCAAAGGGCAGTAACGGCATTCTCAGACTGAACTTAAAAACAACATTCAGGAGGTCTAACTTTGAAATGCAAATTTGGCTGCAACATCTAACAGAAATAAAAAAAAGTGCCCTACTGTCTCCTCGATCAGCGCGGACTTTACCTCTCAGCATGCGCTGTCGCGAGATTTAATCAAGTGCGGTAATTGCGGTGGCACGTCATGCAGCGCGGTGGGTTTCTTAATATCGCGATATATTGTTCTTGCGAATATTGCGACAGCCCTAAGTGTGAGCACATGACTCGTGAGATTTGCTCTGGGAGGAAGTCGTACAGTTTGAGCTGAAGCTGCGTGCTACGAGTGAAAAAGTCGCACAGTGTCCGCCCGGCTTAATGCTACACTAACATTAGTCACTAGCAGTGTGCCCATCTGGCTGCTACTGAGCTACGGGATTCTAGTTATACTGAGGTTCTAAAGACCCGTTCTCAAAGGTCTATCGAGGAAAATGTACTTTGAAATCTATACTGCTATCATTTTATTGCCCAGCCTTAACCGCACACATGAGTCATGAAAGCTCTGCGCTTCTGTAGTGCTGAATGTGGACCATAAACAAAGCTCCAACTACATTCAGAAAACTTACCTACAGAATATTATAGCAAACAGGAATAGTGTGTGTGTTCTTACCCTTTGAGCAACATGAAGAGGATATTCTGCTGGGTACAGAGGTACTCTACAGTTGGTGTTCTGGTGCCGATTTGACGTCTCAGGATGTTGTTGAAGATCTGTGCTACATCTTTTTTACCCTGTTGGTAACACAGATAACACAGTCACGTCAATGAACGAGTGGACAATGGGCCTAGTATTTCACTCCCAACTCAGCAGCACATAAGGGTGGAAACCAGGAAAAGTGTCAGTGTTTTATTTATGAAGTAGAAGAAGAAGGCTTGAGCACTCTTAAAAAGTATTGATTCAGTACAAATAAAAGAACTAACGTTTCAACAGTGGTGTCTTTGTCTCTGACGTTAGTTCAGTTGTTGGTCATGGATGTTCTGCACCGGTGCTCAACTGGATCAAACGTAGAATGCATGTTTACCCCAGGTGTTTCACTTTCTTTGTGATTAGTTTAGTAAACCAAAAGAAAATGTGCAGCATTTGGTGCCAATTTTGATGATCTCATAAAAAACATAACTCAGAGGAATACGGTGGCCCAGAAGGCAAAATGAAATATAAAGGCTACAACAGAAGTAATGGATGTTGAAACTTTTTACAATATTCTGATTGCCTGAGATTTTGAATCTGGGGTTTTCATAAACTGTAAGCCATAATCTTCACAATTGTAACCTAAAAGTACGTAACCACAGCTTCGCTCTTTAAGGCTGGATTGGGTTAAAGGCAAAGCTGGCTGTAGTCACTGCGTCTCACTGGTTCAAATCGAATCATCAGACCATATTAAGCCCCCTTCAGACAGGCCATGAAAAACGGAAATGTTCCGGAATCTGTCCGTAAGACCTCTCTGTCTGAATACAAACATCCAGATAACGTGTTCCGGAATTTATCCGGACGAAGCCCCTAGTAACAGGTCCGGACTTGTTACGGACAGGGTGGCTGCTTCAGACTGGTGAGGTAAAGTTCCGGACAAGAGGGAGGGGGAGGAGGAGGGGACCGGGGGATGCTGTGCGCACCTAGATAGCCCGCTGCTGTAGCATGCGGCGAACCACGGCAGCTCGCCTCCTACGGTACCGCCTAGACGCGCGACGGAGCACTTCACACCGCTTCGTGATTCCTTTAACCATTGAGCTTCATCATCCAGGTCTCTTATGCGTCTTCGTGTGCGCAGAATTATGCTTAAGCGCCTCGTGATTTTTATCTGGAGAGGCGCTATAGAAATGATATTTTCTTCTTCTTCTTCTTAACATAAGTCCGATTCCTCCTCCCCCCCCCCCCGCGCCCACCGCCGTCAGACATCTGGAACTGTTCCCTGCTGTGTGAACGCAGCCGAAAGGACAAGTTCCGGTACAAAAGTGGTGTGTCTGAAAACACAGTTCCGGTTAAAAACCGGATTGAATTGTCCGCAAATGTTCCAGAATGTCTGTCTGAAAAGGGCTTCTGTTTGCCAAACCACAGAAAAATCTCTCCCCTCCTGTATGACTGCTGTGCGAATGGCAGAAGGAAAAAGGAGCAGCCAAAGCGAAGGGGTGATGAAAGTGAAAAACGTCACAATTGGTATTCACACAGCAGGGGAACAGCTGGCAGCAAGTGACCGACCCAGCAGGGTATTTAACACGACTCCACAGGGGGTAAGATGATAAGCATGCAGAGAAGAAGACCTAGCGAAAACAGTAGGGGAGTAATGGAGGCTATTATCTGAAAAAGTAAACCCATCAGGGATGGTGACGAAGGCATGCAACTCCAATTGACATGTCAGCATGATCCATAGGCACTCACAATGTGAACAGGTGCGCTGAAATCAGCTCATAATAACCCTGAGCACAGAGTGAGAGAAGGAAATGTCCCACAGGGACAAAAGTGATAAAGTAGACAAATGAGCAAGGGGAGGACCAAGATGAAGCTAGACAAATGTCCACCACCGACATGCCTCTGCACAGCGCCATAGAGGAGATGATTCTTCTAGTGCAGTGATTCCCAACCAGAGGTCCGCGTACCCCTAGTGGTCTGTGAGAGCATTACAGGGGTACGCAGAAAAATGTATATTTCATTACCCAGATGATGACAGCACTGGCTGTGTCCAGGTAAAAAACAATAATAAAACATTAGGCTAATGGGTTATGCTTGATGAATATGCAAATAAAGTAATGCACAGTATCATATTAGCAATCATCTATTTAGCAACTGTGCAGGAATTTTTTCAAGCTGTGTCAGCCTTGGACTAGAGACTGTTGCTGCAGCGCGGAGCACGTGGCTTCAGATGCACTTGATCCAGTAATGTTAGTTATCCTGACCTAATTTTGGTTTTGGGAGTGTGACGTTGAACAGAAAAACATCCTCAGTAAAAGCTCGTCAACACCAATTCCCTTAAATGCCGCTCACAATACAACACAACAACACAATAAACTCACGCAGACTTCCAAACGTTCTGACATCTCCATTCTTTTAGTGGTCGGATGAAATATGCAAATTTTGTGAGATAGGAATTTTGGGTTTTCATGAGCTGTATGCCAAAATCATCAATATTAGAAACAATAAAAGGCTTGAACTACGCCCGTCCGTACACTGTGCGACTTTTTCACTTTTTTGAGCCGATTTTCCACTCGTGCGAGAATCCACGACATCGGGGCGAGTTTTGCGCTGAGCGTCGTGTAGTGTACGGGGGTTACGAGAGGCGATTAACACCACGTGACCAGCTGCCGATCAGCAGTCGTGAGCTCGCACGGACTTCTGGCGTGTTTAATATTTCGCTCGTCCCTCGTGAGGGTATCGCACTGTTGAAGCGGCGCTGCGAGCAGCTGCGACCCAAAATGTATCAGAACCGCTCACGGCGCATGCGCAATCCTGCATCAACGCCGCTCGCTATTTCCCTAATAACACACGCTGTTCGTTTTTATTTCTACACGTTTTTTTTACTCACAAAGATTGTCAAGAAAGCGTGTTTGTCGTGTTCATGTCAAATTAAACTGATCACAAAACACAGATTTACTTTCTTTATTTCGTTTTCCTCGTCCAACCCCCATAAATCCCTGTGTGTCCTCCTGCAGCACTCCCGAAGGACAACAGTGAAAACAAGACAAAAAAAGTCTGAAGTGTTGAGTAAAAACTGCTATTTTTAGCATATTTTTAGGGCCGACGTGTTGCTACCAGACGTACAGTGTGAGCAGTCAGGTCGCATGCGAGAACTGGGTCGTGCATTGTGAGCGCATGACTCGTGAGATCTGCTCTGCGAGGAAGTCGTACAGTTTGAGCTGAAGCTGAACGCTGCGAGTGAAAAAGTCGCACAGTGTACGCCCGGCTTTAGTCCCTACACCCCCAGCAGGTCCCTGAGGTCCGGGGACCAAAGCCTACTGGTTGTGCAGCACCAGGCTAAAGACCAAAGGTGACAGATCATTTGCTGCTGTGACCCCCAGACTCTGGACCTCTCTCCCCCTGAGATCAGTGGACTCAATGGTCTCTAGGGCTGAACAATTCCTCGAGTACCTCGAATAATTCGAGTACAAGAAAGCCTCAAATTCTCTGCCTCAAGGATTTGTTAAATTCATGTTTAATTAATTCATGGCTTTGGAATTGCAAAGGGTCATGTTTCACCCGGACCACAATGAGTGACGCACTTACACACACTGCACTGAATGCACATGCGAGTAGCGAATGTAACTTAACATTAATTATCCAGTTCGTGAAGAGAGAGTGCAGAGACCTCATCTGGAAGCTTTCCAAGAACTGTGAAGTTTGCAAGAAAAATGGTTTAAGATTTGCAGAAGATCTGATTCAGGAAGACAGGGAAGCGAAGAGGCTGCTGTGGCCGAAGGTGAAGGAGGCGCGGGAGAAGAACAAGAGAGCGTACTTCAGAGGACCGTTTGCATTAATTGAAAACACCCAGAAGAAGGAGGTGGTGGCTTTCTGAATGAGTTGTGAAGACGTTTAGAGGGACAGTTCAACTATTATTCACTAAGCTAGTCTTTGGTGAAGCCTTACATTCCTGTTAAATCAAAGTTAAAATTTTTATGTTTTTTTTTGTGTTTAGGTCATTTTTTGAAATCCTTATGAGTTCAAGATTATCATTTATTCCATTAAATGCAAGAGGACTGTGTCAGGTTCATTGGCAGATCTGAAGCGTGACTGAGAGTTTCTGTTGCCCAGACGCGGAGCGACGGAGATAACCGGCGTGGTTATCTCCTGAAGGTGTAGTTAGAAGATTTTGAGGGCTGGTAAGCCTGGAGACTCTATACAAAGTCTGGTGAGAACGATGACTGAGCAATGAATGAAACGCCGGCACTTCCTTAAGTAGTGTCGGCGTGATGACGTCAGCCACCACGTTGGTGGCAGGAATGATTGGAATGCAGTCAGCGGGAGGAGTTCGTGACAGGACCCCCCCCCCCCCCCCCCTCTAGGGATGGCTCCCGAAGTCCCAGGACGGCGGGCCCAGAAGTCAGTTAGCAGGGCAGGGTCGCCAAACGAGCTCGTGGGCTCCCAAGAACGTTCCTCAGGCCCGTACCCCTCCCAGTCCACGAGGTACTGCCAACCGCGTCCCCGGCGGCGAGCGTCCAGAATCCTGCGGACCGTGTAGGTGCGATCCACCTCAACCCCGCGGGGCGGAGGCACCCGGACCGGTGGAGGGTGGAGAGGAGAGGAGATCACAGGCTTAAGCTGGGAGACGTGAAAGACCGGGTGAATCCGGAGAGTAGCCGGGAGGCGCAGACGGTAGGTGACTGGATTGATGACCTTGAGGACAGGGAACGGACCCAGGAAGCGAGGAGTGAGCTTCTGGGAGCCAGCCGGCATCCTCAGGTTAGCGGAGGAGAGCCACACCTGGTCGCCAGACCAGAAGATGGGGCCAGGCCGGTGGCGGCGGCGATGCTGACGGGCATATTCCGTGTTGGCCCGGGTGATGAACGCACGGGCCCGGATCCAGGCGAGCCGACAGCGGCGAACCAGCGTCTGGGCAGCAGGGACCTCCACCTCTGGCACCTGATGGTCAAACAGAGGAGGCTGATAACCGTAACAGGTCTCAAAGGGAGACAGACTCGTGGCAGAGGAGGTCTGGAGGTTGTGTGACAGCTCCGCCCACAGGAGAAAGCGGGGCCAGGTGGTAGGCTGGGACGAAGCGAAGCAGCGCAGGAAGCGTCCAAGCTGC